ACACTCATGAAGAGTGAATGTCCAGATAAAGATTAACAAGACTGTGGCAAAACTATGACTATGGAACAAAGTAAAAGACTATGGCAAAAAAGCAAACCTGGCGTGACGTGGGGGTGACGAAAGACAGACGGACGAAAGACGAAAAGGACGAAACGGATGAAAACGCACTCGCACAAGACAAGGGGAAACGAAGACTATTTAAACACATGAGGGAGGGGAACCCCAGGTGTACACAATAGGTAATCAAGACATGACGAGACACCAGACATTCCCCCAGACGTGACAGCAGGACAAAAAAAAAACCAAGTAAACATTCAGTTTAGCCGGAATGAATCCAGATGGGGGCGGCACGGTGGTGTGGTGGTTATCACTGTCGCCTCCCAGCAAGAGGGTTCTGGGTTGGAGTCCCGGGGGAACCAGGACCCTTCTGGGTGGAGTTTGCATGTTCTCCCTGTGTCTGCGTGGGTTCTCTCCGGGTTCTCCGGCTTCCTCCCACAGTCCAAAAACCTGCATGTTAGGCTGATTGGAGATTGGGGAAATTGCCCTTAGGAGTGAATGTGAGTGTGTGTGGTTGTTGGTCCTTGTGTGTCTCTGTGTGTCCCTGTGATGGACTGGCAGACTGTCCAGGGTGTACCCTGCCTCTCGCCCGTTGACCACTGGGATAGACTCCAGTTCCCCCCGCGACCCCAACAGGGAATAAGCGGTATTGATAATGGATGGATGGATGGATGGATGAATCCAGATGGCGGAATATCTCCCCAGTCTGTTTGTGTCATCAGACAGGGCTAAAGGTGGGACGTCCGTTGGGTTCTGCTGTCCACCCAAACGTCCGGAGGGGGAACGGCCGAAGTCCACCTCTGAACTGTCCAGCTCTGGGTCAGAGCAGCTGGAAGCTGTGTGGAGTCCCTGAGAGCTGCATGTCCAAAAACGGAACTTCCTCTTTATCAGATCAGTGACGGAAAGGAAATTACAACACTATGTCTGGTTGACACCTCAGCGTTGAACTAAAATACGAATTTCATCGGAATAAAGAAGAAAAGGAGGAGTCGTAGTTCCTAACGTTGAGCTATTTGTCATCCAGAAACAGGAACTCTAAGCATTATCTACGGATCAGTGACAGACATCTGCCTCATAGCGTCGGCAGGACTCAGAATGGCTCTGATGCGGCTTCTTTTCATTCTTATGCTTCACTTTGAAGGTAAAGGTCGACTTTTAACTAATATTTGTGTGCTGTTTTAACTATTAAAAGTAAAAAAGATAGTAAAGAGACAAATCAAAGTCACTTTGTCAACTTTTTATGAGATTTCAAATTAGGAGAGTTCATTTGGGTGAACAGAATAATGATATTAATTAAATTTCAAAAGATTCTCGATGCAGAATCGATGAGATTGAAGCTTTTTCTCCTTTTTAAGCAATGAAACGATGTTGGAAACAGTTTGAAAGAAGTTTTAAAGACAGCTATTTTAAAGGAGTCATATTATACCCTATTTCAACAAGTTAAACTAGTTCCCTGGTGTCCTAATGTAATGTCTGTGACAAGCTTTGGTCAAAATCCCATAAGGATGAAGCCCAATAGCAGTTCAGTCCCCCTGCCTAACCCTAACCCTAACCCTAACCCAAAACAGCCCCGTTCAGAGCGCTCGCTTGGGAGTGCCTGTCTCTTTAAATGCAAATGAGACACAAGCAACCCACCCACTTCTTCAGAATCAGAATCAGAATCAGAAATACTTTAATAATCCCAGAGGGAAATTATTTCCGGGAGGTGTGCCCACGTCGGCACGCTAACGCTACCATGCTAACGCTACCATGCTAACGCTACCATGCTAACGCTCACGTCTGCCACAGATAGGTGGAGTAAGCTGAGGTGGGGGGCAACATGCAGGTGAAAGGCTGGAATATTATAATGAGCTAGAGCTAATGACGTCAGAAACTACCCACTCCTGAAACCTCCTGATTTATCTCCTGGATTCAGACTGAGGCAGCCCACAAAAACATGACTGAGTCATTTTTTTTCACACTTTGCCTGCTGATAGGCCCTCCACAGTCACAAATGTACATAATGAAATAATTAAAAAGGTTTTAAGTCTTAACTAATGAAAATGTTGCTAACTGAAAGGTGACCAGTGCAGAAACCTTCAGGTTTAATTCTCTGAGTTTGTTTGTGGCTTTTGAGTGAAACTCTCCTCTGAATGTTTCCTTTTTTCTGCAGCAGCCCTCAGTGAAGCGAAATTCTACAGAAATGGACAGAGTGTTGCTCTGCGGTGTACAACAGATCTATCACACACATGCAGAGATGTTATCTGGTTCTATAACAGAGATGGAGGTGTATCACTAGTAGAGGTCAGAAAAAGGAATATAATTGCACAGTCAGGACGAGCTGCCAGGCTGAGTGTGAACGCTGACTGCTCTCTGATCATCCACAACATCTCTGCTGAGGACTATGGAAGCTACATCTGTCGAGTTAGGGACCGCACTGACCTCGACACAATTATATATCTAAGTATTTTAACAAGTGAGTATTATATTAAGAATAAATACTCAATTGACTTTAACTGAAAATAGGACATGTGAACAGCAGCATCTGTCATAACTCATCACTCTGCTCCATAATCATTAAGAATAAAGCAGAATTTAATTAAACTTGAAAGAAATTTAAACTTAAAGATGGTTAATTTTCAACTTCTTAATATAAAGTATAATATTCCACATTTCTAAGGCTGAAAATCAGGATTAATCTCTTTATGTCCTTCAGTTTCTCCATCTCCACCAAACGCTGATACAGGAAATGATGAAGTCACATTAAAGTGCTCTCTGGAGAGAGACATGCATTTGGGTCCCTGTAATCTTTACAGCTTCCGCTGGCTGGATGAGAGAAGAACTGAGCTCATAGGTAAAGGTGACGGATATGAGCTCAGAGGACAGGCGAACTGTATTTCCTATCTGACTGTGAGCCTTCAGAGGGCAAACAGCAGAACGTTC